TGTAATGTAAATTTGTGCATTGGTAGCATGTGATTTTGTAGGTTGCTAGACAGAGATAATTCTTGGTAAAATATGTTTTGCTATAGTCATCTCGAGGACAAATAACTACACAACAAATTAAACGGCTTAATAAGTGTAAGAGAAAGGAAATCATAGATGTAAGATAGTGACTGTCACAATGTGTGTGTGTGTGTGTGTGTGTAAATCTTTGGGATTTAGTCAATATGTGTAATTATCCACATTGGCGTGTGGTGTTCTAATTTAAACTGACAGAGTGCAACATGGTCGAACACATCCGAGTGATTTTGGGTGTCTGTGTGTGTGTTTCACGCTCTCCAAATTGCCTGAGGAGCACAGCTGAGTCTATGTGATTGTGTGTGTGAGTGAGTGAGACAATTAAAAGGGATAAAATAATAGGAACAATGGTCTCATTGGAAAAAACATGCTAATACCCGCATTTCTGCCAAACTTTTCTGCCAAAAACGTGCATACAAGCTACTACAGTTTCCAGCTGAAATGAACATTAGAGGCAGTAAAACACCAATTTGTATTCCTTTTCACAGAAATTATGATTACAAAGGAAGAAATTAGATTAATAACAACTTATTTTCACACATTTCCTTTTGCAATAATGTGTTACGACCTCAAAACATTTTCACATTATGCATGATTTGTAAACTAATACATTTTGATGGTTGCATCACATCATCAACTCCATTTGTACAGCTTTTCTGATATAGTAAACTTGCTCGGTAGCTCACGTACAAGTCCCATGTAGAATGTCATGATACTCAAAAGAACTCAAAGATTTGTGGAAGCCATGGTATAGTTGCTATTTTGTTTTGATAACACTATTAGGCCACGTTTACACAAAGCCTTGTATATAGCAAAACGAATATTTTCCCCCTCTCCGTTTTCAAAAATAACATAGTTCACACACCCGCATAAATACGCCGTCGAGCGCCATCATAACTATGCCAAACCTATTGGCGGCAGTGTAGGGGTTAAGGATAAAGCCATGCAAGCCAATCAGAATCCTCAGAATCGACAAGCGAAAACCTAAAACGGCGTTTCTCCCAGTTTACACGGCAACACATTTCAGAAATCTCCACTTTGCCCGGAATTTTTAGAAATAATCGTTTTCTGTGATAAAAACGGCGTTTTCGTGTAAATGAGAGGGCAAAATGCAGAGAAATATCTGCGTTTTCCCATTGTGTAAACGGGGGCTTAGTTGGTTAGTGTAGATGGTAAGCTATTTTCACGGTAGAGCATTAACCTTTTAGCCGCTCGCTGAACTTTTGCAGATTTGCTTTAAATTGACTGTTGGTCCACGACCACTTCATCCAACGCTTAATTTCCTGTTACGACTCCCAAGTGAAAAACTACTTCAGACGATTTAGTGCGTGCAGGAAACTGAACAAATAATTCAAACTCAGATTCGCGAACCAATTTAGACAGTTTTGCTTACTTGTTTGATCAAGTCTTTGAACAGAATTGACTCAAAAGAGTGATTCATTTCTCATTTGTGAATAGGGCATCGCTCGTGCCCCAGAAAAGAAGAGACGGCGCACTTGGAATAAATTATGCGTTTCGTATCATGCATTGCATTAAAATAAAGTGACTAGAGTCACTAGAGGAACATTGCCCAGCGTAACAAAGTAAAAGTACAGATTTTTCAGTAGAAATGCACTCGAGTTAAAGTACCCACAATAAAATCTACTCTTAAAAGAACAAATATTCCCCAAAAATACGTAAGTAAATGTTCTTCTTTCTCCGGAAAGCTTGGGTCTGTTGTTAGCCAGCCACAGCTTGTGTATAAAAGGACAGCCACAGGTCTGCTCGACACTTTGGGAAAGCATGGGATCATGGGGTCTCTCGCTCCTCAACGTGTCGTGTGCCGTTGCCCTGCTGGGCTGCAGTGCGGGTTGTCACGGCAACCCAGCACTCGCTCCGTGCTCTAGGTGAGCATTCTCGGTTGTAGGGTCTACTTTGGTAAAATAGCTTGGGAGACCTGAGTGGTGAGGTCTTCTCCAAGGTTGGGAACCAACCTTCATAGGGCCCCATCCCCTCTAACGCATCACAAACTGTGCAGCCTCTGGATGGGATTGCTGGCCCTTTTAAATATGCCAAAAATGGAATGCCAAAAGTGCCAAATTCTGCATAAAAGTTTTCACCTCTCTCACTACCCTTGACGGTGGGGTGGCTATGCCTCTGGCAGGCCACCTCCATCCTGCATGCTAAGCCAAGGCACTCTTATTGCACAAGGGTAGTTCTGACCCGGGGTTGAGCTCCGCATGTTGACTGACCGTGATCAAGTCACGGCGCAGGCCCTCGGCCAGACGATCCAGAAGCGCCCCCTGGCTGGCCTTGCAGAGGTGCGAGAGGTCGTTAAAGTACGTTTTCTCGATACTCCCATCACACAAGGTGGCCTTTTCGGCGACACTTTGCTCTGTCCCATCCGCGCTCTGCGACGGTACGTAAACAGAACTCAAAGCTTCTGGACCTCAGACCAGCTCTTTGTCTGTTTCTGAGGGCAGCAGAAGGGAAAGGCTGTCTTCAAGCAGAGGATGGCCCACTGGATGGTGGATACGCGTTGGCTTACAAAGCACAAGATGTGCCTTGCCTGCTCAGGCTGTGAGCTCACTCAACAAGAAGTGTTGCATCCTCCTGTGTGGTGGCACGTAGCACCTCGCTAACAGATATTTGTAGAGCTGTGGGCTGGGGACACCCAAACCAACACATTCTCATCCCAAAAAGACCATACGTCAATATCCGCCTTTTTAGGGCCCCCTTAAACGTCGGTAGATGGCGATCCCGGGCCGTCATACAACTGACGCTTTACCTTTAACGTCAGTTAGGTGACGGGTTAGGTTTAGGGTTAGATTTAGGTCTGGGGTAGAGTTAGGATCCCATAACCTCATCTACCGACGTTTAAGGGGGCCCTAAAAAGGCGAATATTAACGTATGGTCAAAAGACGTCCCAAAACGTCGGTTATATGACTTTTTGGGATGAGACTGCGTTGCCCAAACACTTTAGCTAGGTTCTATAGCCTACGTGTAGAGCTGGTTTCCTCCTGTGTTCTCACCTCAAATGGGTAAAAATATCGAGAGGCTCGTCTCTTTTCGGCTTGCTGTGCCTACAGTTGTGTTCATGTCTCCAGAGTGAAAAACCTGTTGAGTCCTCTGTCGCCCTCGGCAGTTGGACTTGGCGGAGCGTCTGGTGCCAGGCCTATATTCCGCTGAATCCTTGAGAACCAGGTCTAGACTGGGTGCAATATGTTGCTTTTTTTCCATGGTTGCTCCTAAACCGAAAGCCTGTCTCTTCCTTGGGAGAACCCATCTCTTAGGAGATTGCTGTCACCCCTAGTAATTCCATATGCAAACAACCCCACAAGGTCCAAATGTTATCTCCACATGTCTCCTTCGGGGAAGGATGTGGCTTCCTCAGTGTTCCTTTTCCAATGAAAAGGACACGCTTTCCCCGTGTTATCCAATAGTCTCACTGAGTCAGAACAGCAATGATGAACTTCTCTGTGTAAGTCCTGTCCAATCAGGTAAGAGCGAGTAGGAGGTTTACACAGGACGCTGGATGGAGTCAGCAGCTGTGGCACTTCGGTAGGGGATTCCAATTCATCAGTCACCGACGTGACGTCGAGAGTGACTGAAAATAAAAGGACACACGTTTAAATTTACATTTGATTACCACTATTTTTGATAATATATTTGGATTAAATCATAAAAATAAACATTAATTCTCTGATTTTGAGAACTGTCATTTTAACTGATGAGAATAATAACCATAATTTAATAATACCGTTTATTTATTTAATAATTGATTAATACTGTAAACCGTGATATTTTATATACTTTTACTCTGAGTACATTTAAAAATGAGTAAATTAATTTTTAGACCAGTAATTTTACTTGTACTTGTAAAATTTAATTGAAGTAGTAGTACTTTTACTTGAGTAGAATATTTTATTACTCTGGACGGGCCGCTCTGAGTATTTCACAATCTGCTCAGTTACTGGGATTTTCTCGCACAACCATTTTTAGGGTTTACAAAGAATGGTGTGAAAAGTGAAAAACATCCAGTATGCGGCAGTCCTGTGGGCGATAATGCCTTTTTGATGCTAGAGGTCAGAGGAGAATGGGCCGACCGATTCAAGCTGATAGAGCAACTTTGACTGAAATAACCACTCGTTACAACCGAGGTATGCAGCAAAGCATTTGTGAACCCACAATACGCACAACCTTTACCACTCATCTCCACTACAAAGAGGCTACAATTTGCAAGAGCTCACCAAAATTAGACACTTGAAGACTGGAAAAATATTGCTTGGTCTGATGAGTCTCGATTTCTGTTGAGACATTCAGATGGTAGAATCAGAATTTGGTGTAAACAGAATGAGAACACAAATCCATCATGCCTTGTTACCACTGTGCAGGCTGGTGGTGGTGGTGTAATGGTGTGAGGGATGTTTTCTTGGCACACTTTAGGCCTCTTAGCGCCAATTGGGTATTGTTTATAAATTATAATTATTATAATAAATTATTATTATTAAGAACTTTACATGTGCTTTAGTATGATAGTCAATACATCAAAATAAGTGTACTTCTTTAAAACACAACAAGATTATTAAAACAGATAATTATTTAAAATGTAAAAGTAAAACTTTTCATTTGAAATTACATACTTTTTAAGTGTGGTAAGAAACAGTCATAAAAGTGTTCTCTCTATAAGTAGGCTACACTTAGTTTCATTTACATTATCCACAAGTACAGTTTTAAGTGCATATTCAATACAATTAAGCACACTTTTTTTCACAAGGGTAGCTGCACAGTTTGCAGAAACAGCACACATGCTCTCGCACACAGGCACACACACACGTAAACGTGCAGCAGGATTAATCACAGAAGACGACACACAGATGGAGAGACTGAAGACCAACGCAGAGCACAGAGCGAGGAGGATGGGGAGGGTGGGAGATGTGAAAAGAAGGCTGAGTGGAGGCAAAACAGAGGACGTATCAGAGACACAGGAAGACTGAAGCTTACAGAAAGCTGGATGCCTGATGTTTAACTGAGGAATATGCAGAAGGCGGGAAGGACAACGTGTGAAAGAAAATCTGACAGTTAGAGGTGCAAATCACTGCAGCAAACCTGCTTGCATTTTTAGCGTCGGAGTGCTGGACTCTGGGGAGCGGGGAAGGGCTCTTCATAGAGGAGCATGACAGCCTGGCTCGGTGGTGTTGCTGCAGCGGGATGGACCGAGACTCATTCATTTTAGGAGGAAATACATAGGCCATTGCAGCTCTCACCACTATGCGCAGGGATCGAGAGCAAGCACATGGAATTGCGTGCCATCGTCAACAACCCAGCAGAACTCTTCCTTTCCCGGACCGTCAGCACATCTAGCATTGTTAACATTAGCCCGGGCAACTGCCAAGATATTAGGTAGCACTTGACTTTATCTGGGTTAAATTTTAGTTTTAGTCAAAGCTACAAAAACAGCAGTAGTTCATTTGTTGAGGTCCTTCGTGAACTTTATCAAACGAGGACCTTCTGCTCTGAAATTGATTCAGCTGTTTTCCCTCTTAACGATAATTTCATTTTTGACAGTAGCAGTTCTCAGGTTTAAGTATGATGTTTGCATATAATTTGATAGATGATAGGTGGTTTATAGTTGTTGTTAGAGTTAAATGAAGTTTGTGGTTGGTATGGTGAGGAGAGCAGATGCTCTAACTGGATTGGCTGATGAAGGCCTCCTGGATACGACTGCTGAAACGAGCAACAGGAAACCGAGTCAAGAACAACATTGGCGTAAGATGCTATAAATCTTAATCAACACTATCTGTGTGTTTGAGTGAGTTGTGCATTTGAAAATTAACAGCGAGTGATTTATTGTCTGCATGTTCTTGAATGACACCCACATTTCACTTCTGACCTTGCTTGACATTAGATTACCATGATTCCATGTTCACATAGTGTCTATTCAGTGTTAAGGTTCAATCTCTAAACATTTCCTTGAATCTCTCTCTAAAGCCGAGTGCACGAAAGGGGGTAGAAATACGTACAGAGATGCACACATTCTAATATGTTTAGTTATTATTACTAGCCTTATGAAAAAGTGTGCTTAATTGTATTGACTGTGCACATAGTTTTCAACTCTCCTACTTAAGTATGTCAAAAAGCACTCCTAAAGGCACAATATGTAATTTTTTTGACTAAAATATCCCAAAACCACTAGAACAATGTTATTTATGTTTTATTAGACAGGTGAGCAACTGTTTGGATAACGTCATTGACAGAAAACTTGTTATATACACTCTACCTTTTCAAAAGGTAAACTTTTGTCCATTTTAGGTGCTAATATTACATTTGAAGTGATAATATGTACATTTTAGGTGCTAATAAGTATATTTTAGGTGTTAATGTGTACATTTTAGGTGCTAATATGTACATTTTAGGTGTTAATATGTACATTTTAGGTGCTAATATGTACATTTCAGGAGCTAATATGTCTATTTTAGGTCCTAATATATACATTTTAGGTGCTAATATGTACGACTAAGGTACCAATATGCAGCCTTTGGGTACAAAAGTGTACCTTTTGAAAAGGTACAGCCCCAGTGACAGCTTTTGTACCTTTTTTTCTGAGAGTGTAGCTTTTTCTGAGAGTGTAGCTGGTTAGTCTTCTTATTTATATTTCTTGTTTTTCTTGATCAAAAATGTTTGTGCCATGCCTCAGAGACAACAGTATTTTGTCAAGTGGCTGGCATATCATAATCAGACAGAGATTTATTTGTAGTAACAGTAATACAGCATTTTCTCCACCATATAATATATTTGATAGATAACTGCATCATGTAACATTATAACATAACTTTCAACACACTCAAATGTATTTTTAGTGCCGGTATGATTGTTTTGACCAAGTAAAACAGCCCTGCGCTACCCCACAATTTGAATTGCAATTAGAATGACAGAAAATAATGTGAATTTAAGTGATCAAACATAACTGTAACCAAGTTCAGGGTAAAAGGAGGTGGAAACCGGCAAATGTTAAACGCATTTTAACACGGAGAGGCACTTCCGACTGCGGCAGACTATAAAACTTCAAATAATAGCCAAGTCCCAAATAGACGCCTGTCTCTTTTACACGCCTGGAGTGGCTGCAGGTTTGGGAAAATAAAAGTCGGTCTCAAATAGAGGCCGGGTCTGTTCTTTAGTTTTGGGTTGTTAATCTTCTAAAACCGTCAGATCGTCCACTTTTTGGTGGCCGCCAAAGCAAATTTTTGTCCCACCAAAGCCTATTTTGATCGGTGAGTGATGTAGAATAGAATAACTCCTGCGCTTGACAGGGTGCAAAATAACGAGCAGAGAGAGAGAGAGAGCTCTCCCGCGCGCATGTTAATCAAATCAATTGACACGATAATAAAAGGTTGGAAGACCACAGTTTGACGTGGAGCATTTGGAGATTTTTAGAGATTAGAGACTCAAAGAACAACATCTAAACACTAAATTATAAAGGCCGGTCTCATATATACACCCGTCTCAAATTCAAGCCGGTGCAGTTCTACGATTTGGGAAAATAAAAGCCCGGGCTATTATTTGAAGTTTTACAGTATAAGCATAATAAATAAAGCTCGGGAGCTCCTCCATGGGTCTCTTATTAGCATTCGCTCAACCGGCCTCATTCAGTTCCCACGGCTCTCAGCCTCGCCCTGTACCTGTAAGTTCATCTAACTGCATATAAAATATATTTTAAATATAATACATTTTTATTTGATTACAAGTAACATTCTGTGACGTGTCTGAAGCATTCAGTTTGCAATTAAATAACTTACTTAAAAGTATTCCCATTGAAAAAACTAATTTTAAAATACACCTTCTGTCATGAAACTTTAGGTGGTGCAGGCGGATAGGTCCTGACTTTGCAATCACATCATTCTCTATAGGGCACAACTGATTGGTTCCTGCTGTATCAGTAGCCAATGAGCTCGCTGCTCAACCTTGGTCAGCATTTGCTTTCGCAGTTGCGGAACGCTTTCAGAATTCCTCTGAAATTCAACATCTAAGATAAGTGAAGTCTTTCTTGTGCTACAATATGCATTATTGGCGTGGTCTACCTTAATTACTAATGAAATAACCATAGTCAAGGTTTAAAATCATGCGTCATGTTAACAATCCTGAGCGAATGAAGCTTGCAGTAACTGCAATATTGCATATATGCAGCAGCAGCAAGTGGACAATTCAGTTGCTATGAGGATACAGTGGCAAAGCATTGCTGGCAATTTAACTGACTTGTTAAACTTAAATATGCTTAGTTTCGTATTTGCATAATTCAAGTGATCTAACAGCAATTTTAGTACTTTTGTTCAGCTGCAGTGTATAGTAAATTCAGATAGCAATGTTAGCGAAATATTATTTATCAACAGCACGCTAGCACTGTTGCTATAAAGTATAAAACACTGTTGTGTCTTTAGGAGTAGTTCACTTTAAAGTGAAAATTAGCCAATGATTTACTCACCCTCAAGCCATCCTAGGTGTAAATGACTTTCTTTTAAACCAACAGTATGAAGCTCAAAAAAGTGAATCCATCCATCATAAACAAACTTAACACGGCTCCTGGAGGCTAAGTAAAGGCCTTCTGAAGCAAAACGATGAGTTTATGTAAGAAAAATATTTGAAAATTGTTGAGATTCACATACCGATTCTTGATGTCTGTGTGTCTGGCTGATACGTTTCAAAGATAAATATTCATATTTTCTCATTGTCAAAAGACAGATTGATGTTATTCTGTAATATCACAGTAATACCATACTCAAAAATACAAAACATTACTCTTATAAATATATTGGACCATAAATGAAATCAGTTAATCAGGCCAGTATATGGAGATTGTGACCATTAACAAACAGCCATTGTCATCTGATCCCGTTTCCTTTCCCGTTGCCATAGCAGATGTTTTTTACAGACAGCTACTGCCATAGATATCTATATAAAGGCTAGATGTCTTAAGGCAGAGTTTCTATCGTCATCACCGGCGGCCATCTTGTCACAGGTAAGCTGATGTAAGATGCTCAGCACGAACACAAATACTCTTATCTCGTTGAAATCTTGACAGATTTCCAAACGGTTTGGTTTCTTACAAACGTTATTAACGTGGCTATAATTATCTGGATGATTATTTATTTATACACTTATTATTCATAAGTATGCTGTGTCATAACTACATCTCTGACGTTTATAACAAACCAAACCGTTTGAAAATCGGTAGAAAATTGAGCAAGTTATGGTTATTTAAATAGTACATGTACCATTAACACAATGTTATGAGTGAGCGAGCTGCCTGTGACAAGATGGCCGCCAGGCGCAGACATCGACCTTCATTGGCCAGCAGCGTGGACGAGATATCTAGCCTTTATATAGATATCTAATGCTTTATATAGATATCTACAACAATTGTTCAAAAGTCAAGGGTCAAGAGCCCAACTAAATCAAACACTGATCACCATCATGGTAACATCAAATGAAACAAATAAAATGACATCTAAACCTCTGTCACATTTTAATAAGAACTTCTGTAGACGTATGACAGAAATATGGTCAATCTGGTTAGTAATAAGTTAAGCTGATAATGCTGTTTGTCGAGTTGTTTAATCATCCTCTGCTCAGTTCTTCAGAAATTTAAACTTTTTAAAAACTTTTCTTGTTCGTCTTTCCTTCAACGATTCTGCTTGTTAACAGAAGGTGTTCATCACTGTCTGAATTAACTCTCTTGTTTTTATTCACTCAGTCAAGTGGACTATATTGGTGGACTAATGTAGGGAATAGTAAATTAGGGTGTATGGTGGGATTTGGAACACAGTGTCGACTTGAAGTGGGGTTAATCCACAGTATATTGCTGCAGACTACTTTCTCGAAAATGACAAAAATCACCCAGAATGCATTGTTTTCTGCAGCATGTTACTGTCAGAATTTGGCCCTTTTTACAGTATTCTTTTTTTTTTCTTCAATGTAGGCATGTAGCCAACACCACACTGGTAGTAGGGATGCTTGATTATGCCAAAAATCATAATCAAGAGTATTTTGCCCAACATTGAGATCACGATTATTTAACACGATTATAGGTGTTATCAAAATCTTATTTCATAAGTGATTTTAAATGTCACTGAAATATCACACTTATCAATACTTCAAAAACTAATACTAGATTAATATAAGTAAAAAGTCCTTGAAACAGTTACAGAAGAGATGTAAACGCTCAGCAATACAATACGAACAAAGAAACTGAATTTGTTCTGTAGTATTTTTTTTTGTTTGTTTTTGTTTGTAATAAAATAAATAATTATTTAGGTTTTTCTGGAAGATATCCTAATAGTGGTATTCAGTAATAAACAAAAGAAATTGAATGAAGTAATCAGGTGGAAAGTAACACTGCTGTATACATGAAATATAGACTAATCCTTAATAAAAAAACAGTTTATTCATTCAAGAGCAGTGAGTGAATTTATCTTTGTCTTTTGTTGTTTGATTAACAATAAAGAGCTGGTTTAATAGGCTGCTGTCACTTTAAGAGCAGCACAGATCTAATAGACTGAAACAAACGCGCTCTTATGCCTGGTTCAGATTACACGATTTTAGCCCGATTTTGGCACGATCCGATTGATGTAGGGTGTCGTGGGGATTCGTAAACGACAACGGGCGTCGGGACGCAAGATTCGATCGTATCATCTCGTATAGTGTGTCATAGTGGGCGACAACCTACGTCGCGTCTGCGATGCTTCATGACATCACGACAAAAAGACTAGCATGTTTAATTTTTTTAACGGTCGTCCACGACGGTTCCGTCACATGTATGAGGTTGACCAATAGGACCACAAGCTTTTCCGTATACAACTTTCAAAAAAGACAAAACGAGAGAGACAATGGTGCTAACGTTAAAACTAGAAGTAAAAATATATAAGAAAACAATATTTTACCTCAAGTTCTCTTTGAAAAAGGATTGACAGCCCTACTGTCCTCTTCGAGCAGGGTTCTCAAGTCTCACGCAATTCAACCAGTTCACACACTGAACCAGGCATTACTCAGTGTTTACATTACCTTGAGATATAACCGACTGTTTTAAAGAGGATACTTGCCAAAACGGCATTTTGACATATTTGTGTACAGGCTATTTGACCGATTAGGCATATGTAAAGAAGACCACAGTATACTTTGCTTATGTGTGTTCCGCCCCGTCTCGGAACGCACAATTAGGAGGCCGCCTAGGGAGCAGTATCTCTTTTGCGGCTTAATATGCTTTTAATAACACTGTTTAATATCAACACGTCCCACGGTTTAACAACAGTAGACTGCATTTTAGCCTACAACACTCACTTATTTGGCAGATATGTATGTATTAGCTGCACATTAATCTTTTTCACATATTAGGGAGGAGCTTTGGATTAATCACACACATAATCGGGACACCCCTTTAAAAAAAACAAAGCGAAAGAAACCCATTTTAAATGCACATCATGGCAGCCAACTTGTCTAACGGCTCTTTTTGGAGGGATACTTACAGTATGTAGGCGGATCTAGTCCACCAAGACCATTTCTCAACCAAACACTCGCGAGAAGTAATAAGGAAATAACGTAAGATCACGCATACGCAAGACTTAAATTGTTATTAAAAACAATAGCATGTAAGAAGATGGTCTGTGCGTTGATTTGCAGCGAAAAGGAGAAAAAGAAAAACAGATTATGGAGGAGGAATTGGTTTGGGAGATGAGAGGACTGTGTTCTAATTGAGTTATAATTTAACACATTCTCATCCCAAGAAGCCATATAACTGACGTCTTGGGACGTCTTTTGACCATACGACAACATCCGCCTTTTTAGGGTACCCTTAAACGTCGGTTGAATGACGATCCCGGGCCGTCATACAACTGATGGTTTACCTTTAACGTCGGTTAGGTGACGGGGTAGGTTTAGGGGTAGGTTTAGGTCTGGGGTAGGGTTAGGATCCGATAACGTCATCTAACCGACGTTACCCTAAAAAGGCGGATGTTGACGTATGGTCAAAAGACACCCCAAGACGTCAGTTATATGACGTCTTGGGATGAGACTGCGCGACTGCTCTGTATAATTTTGCAATGTGCTGCTGGTCAAGCAAATGTTGTTTTGTTTCCGTTTGATATATTCTGGTCTATAAATACACCCCAAATTTCCCGTTGCCCATTGCTCTCATTGACTGTAGTAGGTCATCGCCCATGTAGTTTTCAGTCAGAAAACTTTCGCAGACCCCTTTTTTAGAGAAAATCGAGGGCTAAAAAAATCATTCAGTGTGAACTCGGCATAAAGGGCACACATATAGCAAACACGCAGTTCTTATGGCTCTTCGGAGCAGTAGCTTTACATGTGTTTCACATAATAATGTCGTATTATGCTTATTACCAAGCACTTGGTCTGCAGCAGCAATAACCAGCAGAAAATCTATTTTTGCCAAGAAAACAGATCGACCATGCCAAACTCAAGAGATCTGTCATGACAGAAATGTATTTCTTTTTTTAGCCGGGTATTTCTTTCTTTTTAATTATCCACGAGACATAAAAAATTGCTCCGTAAGACTTTGTTTACTTTTAACTGGCTCTTTTTCATCCCAAAATGGTTTTACACTGACACATATGGCTCTTGATGCATTAAGTTTGATAAACTGCTGCTGAAGCTGTTTGTTTATGTTTTGTTTCAATGGTAACCAAAACTGTTTGGTTACCAACATTTTTTTATGTATGAAAAATAAATCTCTCTGCTTTTGCCATAGGGTTCTGCGGACTCATACACTAGTCGGCCATCGGACTCAGATGTGTCCCTGGAGGAAGATAAAGAGACCTTACGCAGAGAGGCTGAGAGACAGGCTCAGACTCAGCTCGAAAAGGCCAAGGTCTTGCTGCATGTTTTACTCACTTACTGTTACTGAATCAATATTAACTGGCAGTTTGACAAGGGTTTGTTAAGTCTGTTTTTCTGCCTAATCGTCAGTCGATCTGTTGCTGTATTCAGAATATGATACTATTGCTATTACTCATGCTATATATTTAGTAATGGTGATTTTTAAATTACTGTCATCGAGCAGGGTTAAAAAAAACTTTTGCTGATAATTTTTTCCCCCCTATGTCATCCAAGATGTCCATGTCATTCTTTCTTCAGTCGAAAAGAAATTAAGGTTTTTGATGAAAACATTCCAGGATTTTTCTCCATATAATGGACTTCAATGGGAACCAAACGGTTCAAGGTCCAAAATACAGTTTCAGTACAAACTGCAAACTGTTCAAAGGGCTTTAAAAAATTCCAGACGTTAAATAAGGGTCTTATCAAGTGAAACGATCGCTCATTTAAAAAAATAAAATAAAGTTTAAGTTTTATAAGCTCAAATGGTCGCCTTGCTCTGTTCTGTGATGCACGTCTGTGACTCTCCTGTTCGAACTCGTTCATCAAAATGAACGAATCTTTTCCCGAGTCAACTCTTTCATTTCGTTCGTTGAATGAACCAAATGACACGAAAAAAGATTCATTCATTTTGATAAATGAGTTCGAACAGGAGAGTCACAAATGCGCGCATCACAGAACAGAGCAAGGCGACCATTTGAGCTTATAAAACTTCAACTTTTTTTTTTTTTTTTTAAATGAGCGATCGTTTCGATTGATAAGACCCTTATTTATCATCTGGAATCGTTTAAAGCCCTTTGAACAGTTTGCAGTTTGCACTGAAACTGTCGTTTGGACCTTGAACCATTTGGTTCCCACTGAAGTGCATTATATGGAGAAAAATCCTGGAATGTTTTCATCAAAAACCTTAATTTATTTTCGACTGAAGAAAGAATGACATGGATATCTTGGATGACATGGGGGTGAGTGAAAATTATCAGCAAAAGTTTTTTTTTAAAAGTGAACTGCTCCTTTAAGAGTAGTTTGACCAACTAGAAAAGTGGTAATCCGTCGTACTTTTCCGATTTAATCTAAAAGCTAGACCCATCTAGCTTTTAAAGTTAATGACTTTAAAAAGTTTGGACCACTTTTAAAGATGACTAATTTTAAAGAGTAGTCTAAGCTGTTTATGCAACCAGCCATGTGCGAAAAGTATTTCAGTTTGGTCAAAGTTTTAGAAGCAGCTTTTATTTTAACAGCGCTAAGAACGTAGTACTTGATGTTAAGATAAATTGTCAAATTCTTGTCAAATGTCATAATGTCACTGTGGACTGTACAGTTTGTTACCTGGTCTTTGCTTGAGAAAATATGATTCCCATAGTGCTGTTGGTTAAAGTGTATACTCATTTTCACTAATAGCCTATTTATTCATGCGTGAAACGTACTATAATAGAATTACAGAATCAAGAAGTTGCTAAAACATGAATCGGTTTATTTAAAAAATGTTAAATAGTAAAATTTTAATGTTTAAATTACATTTTCTATATTGAGTCAAAAATGTTATGGTTTGTCTGCACATCGAGTGCCATCTTCATTTTTAAACAGAACTTTCTCTGAGGAAAACCAAAGCAGTTGTTTGGAGGCAATACATGACATCTCACTACAGTAGTCTTTCCAATCTATTTTTATTCTTCTGTCTATTTAATCTTGTTATTGTCACTCTCTTTTTTACCTCTAGGGGAGGTAGATATTTTTAGTGCTTTGCATCAATCAGATTTGATCTTTTATTTATGCAGAATCTCACATTAATATTGAAATAAAGCCAGATGGCAGTAAAATATTCAGACAGAAGAAATTCTTCACTGACCATGTGAAATATCTGCATCTGCTCTCTCACACACATGCAGTTTCACAAATCAAACCTTAAAGGAATAGTACACCCAAAATTGATTTTTTTTTTCTTTATCATAACAAGAAATGCTCCAAAAAGAGCAAAACATACATCACAACATATCCAAGACTTCTAAAGCCATCCTCCAAAAAAAAACAAAACAAAACAATTTTTTTTCTTTATTTTATTTATTTTTTGTAACTATACAGTACCAGCCAAAAGTTTTGATTTAATTAAGATTTAAAGTGATTTCTGAAGGATCATGTGACACTGAAGACTGGAGTAATGATGCTGAAAATCCAACTTTGACTATTGTAAATTGATTACAATTTCAAATATATTAAAATAGAAAATAAAAATAAATATTAAAATAGTTATTTTAAATTGTTGTAATATATCACAATAATACTATTTTTACTGTATTTTTGATCAAATGAATGCAGCCTTGATTGAAATATCTACCCTTGATTGAAATCTGCTTTGTTAGCTTGCTAAATCTGAAATATTTTACGATATACTGGAGATGCAATTGAAATTAGTAAGTTTTTTTGTCAAATTTATTTTTGGATAATGAATGAAAGCATATCGCTGAACAGGCGTGTATCCAAGGTTACGATCACTATGTCTGATCAATACCGCATGTATAATGGAAAATGTTGTTACATAATAGGCAGACAGTGGCTTTGAAAGCAAACAGGGATTTAAAAATGAATAGAGAACTGCTAACGATTAAAAAAACACAAAATATAATTTATAGCTCTGTTAATAAATATTACATTGCATAATTTTGCCTTCTTATTATAAAATAAATGTGAAACGCAGCTCAAAATAAAGAAAGGACAGCTAAAAGGAGCATTGTCTTGAGTTGACAGATCATGGAGACTCATGAAGTGCATGTAAACACACCATACCCACTGCCATTAAAGGACACTGTGTCCTCTGATTGTCATACCCATAATTCATTGTGTGTGCAGTGCAGACCGTCTTGTGTCCATATTGATTTTGCCCTCTAGTACATGCTCCTGCTTTTTTCTGTTTTAAAAACATTGGGGTAAAATACATTGCAAAATCCCCCTCCCCCATAGAACACAAAATTAGAATTTTAAAAGAATAATCAGGCAGTTCTGATCTGAATTGATTTGTAATGACAACTGGAAAAACTTAATTCAGCAAGATGGCTGTTGCATTTGCTGTGCAGATTTCTAAATGGAAACGCTTCTAAAAAAACAAAACATATAAACAATCATTAAAGTGTTAAAAGCTGATCTATTAAGTCAATTTATAAGTGTGTCAGCATGTCCCAAAGAAATGTTATGCTTTGACGGGGAATTCATTTTAAGACCTACTATACACCTTTTGCATAAATCCGAGCAAGCATTTCTCGTCTTTGGCCACCACCATGTTTTTTGAAATCATTATCACTGCATGTTACTTTTCGGGACCTGCATGTGCCAAACCGTGATACAGAGACATTAATTCAGTACAAGCAGAAGAAGGACAAACAAGTCATTCAGTAAATTTCCACAGCCCATCTGAGCTGGTGTGCTTAAAGGAGTAGTTGATGATAATTTACTCACCCCCATGTCATCCAAGATGTCCACGTCATTCTTTCTTCAGTCGAAAAGATATTAAGGTTCCCTTTCGTAGTCACTTCGAGTTACGTCAGAAGTGACGGAGATTGGGGGTTTCGCATAGAAAGCCAATCCTCTTCGAGTATTTAAACACGAGCCAATGGCATGCAATGCCTTGGGGCTGCGGAAATTTGCATAGCGTACTCCGCCCTACTCCGTGAGTATAAAAGGAGGAAGTGAACGCAACCGCAGTATGTTTTCGCTTCGGAGCCAAGAGAACCTCTTCACTCCTGAAAGCTATTACAAGACTCTTCGAGACGAGCGTCCTCTTCAGTGTTGGTGTGACGGCGGTACCCAGCGAGTTTCTGCATTGCCTGCGATCTGTGCAGTGGTCTGCCAGACTTTGCGCTTCTCCCTGGTCGCCTCAGCGCTGAAAGAGTGAATTTCCTCCTCTCTGTAAAAGAGCTACACGCGGCACGTCTTTTTAAAGACGGTTCGCCCGTGTTCTTCTGGATGCGGTCGATTTCTGTCGTCATCTGATGGTCGCGATCGCTGCTCTGTATGCCTGGGCATTCAGCATGCAGCAGCAGCGTTCGTGGATGACTCATGTTCCTGCTATGGGGACATGACCATCTCCACACTGAGGTTAAAAAAAAAAAAAAAAAAAAAAAGATATATATATATATATAAAAAAATATATTTTATATATAGAATATATATTTTTATATATATAAAAAAAAAAAAAAAAATCTCACTAGAGTGAGAGCCCCGGTCCCCCTTACTCGATCGGCTTCCTTCACGAAAGGGGGCCCGTCGACCGGGGACCCGGCGAATTAACGGTGACGGTGTGGCATAAGCCCCGACGATTTCTCGGGCCACACCTCCCGCCTCAGTGCGTGAGCCAGCGAGCGTTAGTTCGATTCAGTCGGCTGCCTCTTCAGTGGTACCGGCTGCTTCGAGCAGCGCTCCAGATGATGATGTGATGTCGATCGCAGCATCACTAGGTGGGCTACAGTCCTCGGGAGATGAGGATGCGGCTGCACTGCCCCCTTCGGGAGAGCCAGCGCTGCCCGTGTCGGATCCCGAGCTGACGGCATGCTGTCTCAAGCCGCTGGGAGTATTGGGTTAGAGTGGCATCCTCCATTCTCCCCCGATCTCTCACGGAGGGATAATTGGTTTTTGGACAAAGCTGCCGCCGCGAGGCCACGGCCAACTCCATTGCCTTTTTTTCCCCGAGCTGCATGCGGAGTTTTCGCGCTCTTGGGGGACTTCTCTGTCCGCTCGAGAGCGCGATCTCTCCCCCGCCTTTCCCCCCTCGATGGGGGGGCCGCCCGTGGGTGCACTGGGATGCCCCCGCTGGAGCGTTCTGTTGCGATACAGCTGTGTCCACAGGGCGCCTCCTCCGTGGTCCTCCTAGGCACCCATCCAAAGCCTGTAGGTTCTCGTCTGCCATGGCGGCGCGTTCCTATAGAGCGGCGGGACGGGCGGCCTCCGCTTTGCATGCGATGAGCACTGTGCAAGCGCAGATGCTCAGAGATATGCTCGAGGGCGGGA